GTCCCACCGCAGGGCCGCGCGGTCCCCAGCGGGCCGGGGCCGGGCACCGGGGGCGCCCCTCGCGTGGGGGCTCGTGGCCTAAGCCTGGTCCCTGAGCAGCGTGTTGTCCCCGTGGCGTTAACCCTGCCCGGGGGAGCAGCCTGAGCCCCCGGTGCCGCGCACGGAGGTGCCGCCTGATCCGGGGTTCCCCGGAGCTCGGGGGCCGTAATTCCCTGCTCGGAAATCACTGTTCCCGTCGCCCGGCTGCCCTGGGCACCCGCGTGCACCCACGGGAGCGGGGCAGCCCCCGCACACAGTGACACACGGGGGTCGTTCAGGGCGCTCGTGGCCTCCTGCTCTGCAAGGCAACAGCCAGGCCCCCGGGGCGGGAGATGAGGGGATCGGGATAGATAAGACAGGAGATAAGGGCCCCCACGTGGAGCGGCAGTGACGCAGGGGAGTGGGGTGACGGCGGGGCCGTGTGCTGGCCCCGGTGACGCTGGTCCCGCGGTGCTCGGTGTGACCCATAGCGAAGAGCGGCCGTAACGGGTCTGCCCTCAAGGGCGGCCAGCCGGGCTGGGCAAAGGCCAGAGGGGCAGGATGTTCAATTAAATCTGCTTATAAAATGATAAATAAAAATCCAGTGTTCCGTATTGGCTCTGTGGAGCCCAAAGCCGCAAGGCTGAGCGCATTAGGGTGTTACGGGGTGCCAGGCCAGCAGCAGGGGTGACCCTTGCTCAGCCGTTCCAGCTGCATCCAGTCCGCGGGGATTGGGGTTGCCTTGTTGTGTTCCCTATGGGATGTTCGGCTCCGCAGCCGTCCCCATGTGAGCTCGCGCGGAGGCTGGCGCGGCCTCCAGGGAATGTGCAGCTCCCGTGGGGCGCTCGGAACAGCACGGCGGGTGCATCGCCCGCGAGGCCGTGGGGAGAGCGGCCCGGGACCATGGCCACGGGCGACGGGCGCACAGGGCTCCGCAGCAGCGGCTTTGGGCTGTGGGAAGGGGACGGAGCCAAGCGCCTCCACTGGGATCAACTGTGGCTTGCAGGGGAGGGCAGGCAAGCGCGGGAGTGAAGCCAAGGAGGAATGACAGCCCCTTGTGCCACAGAGGCCTTCAGGCCATTCCATTGGATAAACTGATGTGGGTTTCACGGAATCACACAGAATCCCAGGATGGCTGAGGTTGGAAGGGACCCCCAGGGATCCCCCAGCCCAGCCCCTGCTCCAGCAGGGACACCCAGAGCACGGGGCACCCGCTCCCAGCCCGGCGCGTTGGCACATCCCCAGAGCAGGAGCCTCCGCAGCCTCCCTGGGCAGCCCGGGCCAGGGCTCGGGCACCCTCCCACCAAACAAGTTCTTCCTCACGGGCACACGGAGCTGCCTGCGCTGCAGCTGGCACCCACTGCCCCTTGTCCTGGCACTGGCCACCACCCAGAAGAGCCTGGCCCCTTCCTCCCTGCATTCCCCCTGCAGGTTCTTGTACACGTTGATCAGATCCCCTCTCAGCCTTCTCTTCTCCAGGCTGGACAGGCCCAGCTCACCCAGTCGAGAGATGCTCCAGTCCCTTCCTCATCTTGGTTGCCCTGCGCTGGCCCCTCTCTAGAAGCTCCAGGTCCCTCCTGTCCTGGGGAGCCCAGAGCTGCCCCCAATGCTCCAGGTTTGCTGCCAGGCAAGTCCATACCTATCCATGTGGAGGAGAAGGTCCCCACCTTCACCTGTAGGACATTCCTTGGGCTACAGAGGGGAGGATTAAAGTATTGAGTGGGTGAAGCGGAAGATGTTGTGGCTGGGAGGTTGACCCCCTCAGTGCCATGTGTCACACAGCTGACCAAAATAGCGTCACCATCTATCTGGTTCCAGCTGCCCAGGGATGCAGGATCCTCTCCCGTCCCTTCTGTGATTACAAAAAGTGAATTTAGCCATGAACTCAACCTAACTCTCCATTTCTTTTTTTTTCTTTTCTTTTTTTTTTTTAATAATAATTCAGGTTTGTCTCTTAGAAAAGAGAAAGGGAGATAATGTCTGCAAAGCATTTAATCTTCTGACCGAAGAATAGCAGAGAGCAAATTAGGATCTACTGCAATTAATTTGCCTTGATGGGCAAAATCTGGAGAGCAGCCATATCTGGGAATTAGGAACAAAAGCGGGAACGTAAAGTAGGTTGCTGGAGTTTCATAACCGGAGCAATGGGCTTTCACAACGCAGCGGGTGCCCACAGGTGGTGGGTGCTGGCAGGTCCTCTCTCCCACAATCCCATCCCAAGGACGAGCTGCACATGGCCCTGGTGCTGCTGCAAATATTTACCTGTCACGGAGCAGGAAGCATCAGAACCGGGATTGGGATTTCAAGGGATAGGCTGGCAGGCAGATGTCATGAGAGCAGCCAGTGGCTAATGCAGGAGGGGAGGGCATGGAGGCAAGAGGAAAGATTCACCACCAACAGCATGACCTGTACTGGGGAGCAGCATCCAGACACCCAGGCGTTGGCAATTGCTCTTCCACCTGCGTTCTAAGGAAACTTGTGGTGCCTTGTTCAGCTCTCAGGTTAGATTGGGAGAATAATCCCAGGAGGGTCTTTCCTCAGCTGCACTTTTGCTCTGCTGCAGATTGCAGACAGTGCTTAGTGGGGAAGGTCACCTTGGGTCCTGCGGGAAGGTCTGGCTGGCCATATCTTGCCTCTTTCTGAACTGGAATGGGTTAGCAGAAACATAGGCAATATTCAATGTCCATTGCCAATATGAGCGTGCTTCAGGTCAGTGGGTTTGACTGAGGCAAAGCAGTTTGATACACATCAGGCGAATGACTGTGGTGATGGTCTGGAAGAGCATTGCTTTGATGGGCCTCTAGGTCCCTGGGTAATATTTACCTGCCAAGGAGCAGGAAACCTCAGAGCTGGGTTTGGGATTTCAAGGAAAGGCTGACAGCCTCCAGCCAACACAAAAGGAAGCCGTGACGGAGCAGACTGCGGCTGGCAGGTGACCAGCACTTGGGGTGGCTGCTCCAGGCCTCCCCGAGGGGCCACGGGGCAAGAGCTGCTGGGGATTCGAGCACCGTGTGGTGCGCGGGCAACCGCCGGCCTGGCGCTTATCCTCTTAGCCATCCTGCGGGGATCCAGCGCTAATTCACCCTTAAACACAGGATTGTCAGAAATTGGGAATGAAAGAAGAGGCAGATTATCCGCGTGTTGGCTGCGTTAAGCACAGGGAGAAGGCAGCTGTGGGGAGAGGAGAGCCAAGAGGCGCTGCGCCCCGCTGGGCGGGCGCCGCGGGCACCGGGCCCATGCTGGGCTCCCCAAGGGGCCCCCGGCCCCGCTGCCTGCCCGGCACCGCAGCTGGGCTCCCTGCGTGGTGCTCCCACGTGGATCTCCCGTGTGGAGCGAGGACGCTCCCGCAGCCCGTCCTCACTGTGTCCTTGCTGGCCGGCAGCTGTGGGTCACCCCCCCAGCCAGCTCCGGGCTTGCTAATGACATAAATGGCAGGTTATGGCACGCACGTATTAATTAAAAGTGCTGGAACTGCTGGCGCTCGCTCTGAAAAGCCTTAAAGCCGACAGATGTTAGACTGACATCTGGCTAGGAGCCCAGCCGGCAGCGGGGCTGGCCGGCCAGGGCTGGCCTTGGCTGCAGAGCCCCAGCCCCGACGTCGCTCCCCACGGGACGGGCCCGGGCTCCGCGGCTCGTGCGGTTGGTCTTCCAGGCCTTCCTGCAAGCGGAGAGGGGCCCAGTGCTGCGAGGACGGGCTGGAAGGAGCATGAAACATGACCCCTGCAACAGGGAGAAGGGCACTGCCCTTGGGAAGCAGCAGGAGCCACCCAGCCTTTCCAGAGCAGGTGTGCATGGGTCACAGCACGAACTTCCAGGGGGCACTTACAGGCTCAGTGCTTTGGCATGGGCACTGAGCAGCCGGACCAACGTACAGCAATGGCATCTTTTAGTGTCTAACTAGCTGGCCAAGCCAGTGTTTTCCTGCATGGACTATGTCCATCATAGCCATGATACACCTCCATGGAAAGACTGGACTTAGAAGGAGAAGGCTCTGCAGTTTCTGCAACAACATGAAGAAAAATTTTGCTTGGCTTGATAAAGACAGCAATGATTGGATTCCGACTCTCACACACGGGCCTCTTGGCTCAAAAACAGACTGCTTGTAGGAGCTGTTGGACTCTTACATGCAAAATTTTGTGCTAAGAAATAAGAAAAAAAATACAGAGAAGGGGCTGCTGGCTGCGGGCAGAACAATAGAAGCTCAGCACAATGTATTTAGGGTCGCTGACGCAGCTTGCCCAAGCACAGCAGCGGATTAAGCAGCACTATCTTCTGAGATTTATCCGTAGCTAAAACGCCATCGCTGTCTGGGTCGCCAGCTCTGTTAGTCCCTCCTTGATTCAAGTGGAAAGAAAACAAGTGCAGGATGGAAAGGAGATGGAAAGGAGACAGCTTGTGAGCTTTCCTTGCGCTCTACATCTGCTTTCACTGACGGGCACCAGACGCTGAAACTCCACTGCTTCATATCCCTGCAAACCCCACTGTCCTTGATGCCCATTAAGATGTGGAAAAGTTGGACCAAAATAAGAGAGGAAAAAAAAGAACTATATGATGCCCCTGGACATGTGGTGCTAATGTAATTGTACATTAGCAGGCAAGTTAATGACCGGGGGAAAAGAAAAATAAAGTAAAATACATCTGCCATGTTTCCCTAACCCATATCTTTAATAAAGCAAGTGTAGTCCCTATCTCTTTACTGCCTGTGCGTTAAACCTTGAAGACGGACAGCTGCCTTTCAGATTGGCTCCGGGGTTTTATCCCTGGGGTTCTGGAGCAGGCACCAGGGCCAGGACCCAGAGGGAGCGCTGGGGACCAGGAACTCTCCAAAGGCTTGATGTTAAGCCCAGCTTTGAGCCCTGGTTGGGGGAGGCCCTGGCTGCCGGCGCTTGGTGCAGGCCGAGGCCCAGGCGGGCCCGGTGCGAGGCGCCATCGCTGGCCCCAAGCACGGCCAAGGGGCGCTGGCTCCACAAGGTTAGTTACATGAGGGGCCCACCTTGCTGGAGAGCCGAGCCAAAATCCCGGCAAAGCCCTTAATACCCCTGAGAGGGGCCGAAGGATCCCCGGTCACCCAGCTTGTGTTACCGAGCAGCATTTAGCTGCCTCTGAGCAGCGCTCTGCCCCGCCAGCCTGGGGACGCCTGGTGTCCTGCGGGGCTGCTGGGGACAGCCCGGGCCTGGCGACTTCCCCGCTGCGAGGCTGCAGAGCCTCTGCACCCACACGTGCTCTTTGCCCCGCTCCTCGCCCAGGTCGGCTGAGGGCTTCCTGCCCCGAACACCCATGTCCCAGGAAGTGTTCCCCAAAAAACGCAAAACGGGAGCTCAGGGAGGGGAGTGAGGTGGACCCAAAGCAGAGAGTGGAGAAATGTAAAAGCATCTTTTAATATAAATATAAATACATCTGAAGGGATCCAGGAGAGACGGCCGGCCCCACAGGACAGGCCGGGTGGTGAGCGCAATGCGGGCACTGAGGCCGCAGCATGAGGGACAAAGGGGGCTGTGTTTGCCCTGGGCAGGGATGACGAGGGACAAGGGCCACCCCACGGCCTTCCCTGTCCCCGCTCCCTCGGTGGCATCAGAGCCATCCCCAGTGGCACACGAGGGACGCGAGGAAGGAGGAGCCCAAAGAAGCCCTGGGAAGAGGCCGAGCCCTGCAGGGCAAGCACAGCCCGTGCCCCCCGGGACAGAGATCCAGCAGTCTTGGCTCGGATGCGGCATGGCAGAGCCAGAGGGGTATGGCAGAGAGATGGCCAAGTCTCCAGAGGCAGCGGCACTGGAGGAGGAGCCGCCTGGAACAGCACCATGGCCCTGAGCGCGGTGCTGACCCCTGCTCCCTGCCGCTGCGGACCTGACGCTCCTGCCTCCTTGTCCAACAGCTCCTGGGGTTGTCCGGAGCCGGGTGGGCAGGAAGGGCTCCCGGCGCTGCCGCAGGGCTAGAGCCAGGGTGCGAGGAGTGGCAGGGCCAGCAAGGGCAGGAGGCCGAGGCGCGCGGGGGCGGCCGAGCCCCGCAGCGTGGCCTGGTTGGTCTCGGCCGCTGGCGAGCCCTGCGCAGCAGCCAGGCGGGCGCGGGCGCTGCAGAGCTCGTGCAGGTTCCCCTGGAACTGGATCTTGCGGGACTCCTCGCGCAGTGACTCCCAGATGGCAGCCGCCTCCTCGGGGCAGCTCGACAGGACCCCGCTGGCGCAGGCGTGAAAGTCGTCCCAGGACCTGGCGGGAGGAGACACGAGCGTGGGGGAACCTGTCGGCCCAAGGAGCTCCCATGTGGACCCCAGGCCAGCCCGCAGGGAGGCCAGCACCCCACTGCCGCGGCATGGGGCAGCTGGGGCCGCAGGCGGGCCCGGGGCCACTCACTTGCAGATGGTGTCCAGCTCCTGCCCCTCCTGGCCGCTCTCCTGCTGCTGGACGCTCTGCGCCATGCTGTCCCCCAGGCTGATGAGGCAGCCTGCGAAGCCCTTGTAGATGGTGTCGCACTTCCCTGCCATGCTCACGGGTTCCTGGGTCACGACTGCAGAGGGGACAGAAACGCCAGAGCTGAGGCTGCCTCCTGGAATAGCTGGCCATAGATGTGACATAAAGTCCCCCCAGTGTCCTCAGGGCTGTGCTGTACAATGCTCCCACCCCATGCACAGCCGCTGCAATCACTCATCTCTAGGCGCATACTGTGAGCTGGGCAAGGGTCCACAGCCCCCTCTCACATTCCTTCCTCCAGGCCCCTTGGTGTCCTCTCAAGTGCCCACTGCCGAGCAGGGTGACAAGGCAAGGAGGGGCAAGCCAAGCCATTCTGGTGTGCAGAACATGCAAGTCAGGAACATCCAGGATGGGGAGATGGGAAAAACGACCCTGCTTTGTCTGGGAATCCTGCAAAAACACTACCCAAGAGCTGTCAGGAAAAGGACAACGAGGAAACAAGGTGAGCACTTTCATGAGGTGACCACCTGCTTCCAAAGCTGTGTCTTTAGGGGACCTGGATGCTTTCATGAGGGGTCTGGAAGCGCTAAAGTGACCATCACGGAGTCAGCACAGCAACAGGTTGTGTTTTTAGGGGCAGAGGCCCTGGGAGGCCCTGAGCAGCATTCCCACAGGAGGCAAGAGCGGATTTCTTTGGAGCCCTTGGAAACCTTCCTCTGGCAGAGCCTTTGCCCTGGCCTGGGAGCAGAGCGGGCACCGCGCAACGTCGCCGCCCGTGCTGCTGCCGCGCGCTGCTGGCCGCGCGCTGGCCCACTTTGCCTCGCGTCTCCCAGGGTCTCTGCGGAGCCATCTGTCCAGCCTCTTTATCCCTCAGCAGCAAAGATTAATTTGTGACTACAACACACACACACAAAAGAGAGAAAAAAAAACAGAAAAAGAAAAAGAAAAAGAAAAAGAAAAAGAAAAAGAAAAAGAAAAAGAAAAAGAAAAAGAAAAAGAAAAAGAAAAAGAAAAAGAAA